TGCAACTCGCCACCAGGGAGCTTCACTTCAGCCTCTGAGTCACAGGCCACTTGGGAGCAGACGAGATGACGAGGTACTTAGCCAAAAAGTTGATACATCACGAAAAAAATGATACGTGACCCGGAAACAGTTACATCAACATCCAAGCGCGGCTAAAGCTTCAACAAGGCTAGGGAGGATCTTGATCGATGAGTTTTACTTGTTATTTTACTTTGATTCCTTGAGAGATTTCAATGTTTAATTTTGTTCTTGAGAGATTTATTTTATTATTTTGATAAACCCTGAAGTTATATTCTTCAATTTCCATATAAGATTAGTCATGCTCTTTTTATGTGCAATTTGTTAGAAAATAATTGATTGGGTAGATTTATTTTATGAGTTGATCATTGACTGCAATACTGTCAATCTGATATGTTGTCGTTCTTGGGTAGCTTGTAAGAATAGATCATTTTGTTCTTCATCAAAAATTAATTCTCTCAAAACAAATACTTTTGTTTTTGTCGTTGGTTTCAAGGTTATATTTTCCGATTGTTTGTTTGGGATGTGAAACTTGCAATTGAGTAATAAATAGGAATCAAAGTCGAGACCAGTTAAGCAAATCGATCAAGTGAATCTCGAAGCCTTGTTCATCACAAACTACTTTTCATCCTTTAATCATCGTTTTTTTATTCAAATATTTTTGCTCTTCTTTTTATTTTTAGAAAATCATTTTTTCTAGGTTATTCACTCTTAGCGATAACTCCTTTTGTTGGTTTAATCAGCTTCTATGTGGATTCAACACCTAAAGCTATGCTTCAACGACCGCTTAGCCAAGGGTAATAATTTTGGGTGAGACACAAAATTTGGCACTGTTGCTGGAGAAGCCAAACCAACAACTAAGTTTGAACATTCTTTACTTCTCTTTTATTTCCTTTGTTTGTTTCATTTTCTTTAGTTGTATTTTATTTTCTTAATCTTATTTTCCTTTTTCTTCTTTTTGTAAGCAAAAAAAAAAACAAAAAAAAGGAGCTGAGGGTGTATGAATAGACCAAGGGACAAAAGAGGGAGATTTTGAATTCATATTTGAAATTTAAACTCAAATTTGAAAAATTGAATAATTTCCTATTAACAATTAAATAACTAATTAAAGGGTAATTAAATAAAGCAACAAATAATTATAGAAAACAAAAAATAAAAAGATTAATTATGCTAAAAAAAATAACAACCACAAAGATAAATTCTAACAAGAAAAATCCCTACTCAAAGGATTAAACAGAAAAAAAAAAGAATATGCGACAATAAAAGAAAAGAAAATAAAATAAACGAAGTGAGTTTCTAATCTGAAAATAAAAAAAATAGAACCTAATAATCCTAAACAGAAATTCACTCAATAAATTAAAAGAAAAAAATAGATCTAAGAACTAAATGAAAAAGAAATAGTACTAAAAAAATAAATCGGATCTAGAAAAAAAGAAAGAAAAAAATTAATTAACTAAGAATTTGAAAATCGCTATTTTACCAAAAAAAAGGAGAAAATAAAAAAAAGACTAAATTAAGACGACTAAACTTGAAACGCAATCCAATTTCTCTTATATTCTCTTTTCTTCAGTAGTTCGGCAATGCTCCAGTACCCCACCTTTCGCTATTACGTCCTGCAAAATCAAAGAGAAACAAGAATTAAAATGAGATTACAGATCAAGTAATTAGATGAAAAAAAAATAATGAAACATATCCAGACAAAGCAAATAAAAAATTTTCTCGTTACTTCCCCGACAACGGTGCCAAAAACTTGGTGTAGTCGGAAGCGTGTCGTTAACCACTTCGAAACACCACTTTTAATATTTATAAATTTTCTGATTCTCAAAATAACTACAATGTGCAGTTAGTGGTGAGAAAGGGGTCCTATCCACAGGGAAGCGAGGGAAAAATTGTTACGTACTTCAATCCGGACAATATAACAAGATTTGAGATTGCAGAAACACAAAATTTAATTAACTGAACTGGAGTCAATTAAAATAAAATTATAACAATGTTGAAAGTAAAAATTGTATGAAAAATAAATAAATAACAAAAATAAAAAAAAAACTAATTAAAAAATCTGCAACTTGGTCAAAGGTACCAGTCTCCGGATCTATTCTTTGACCCTCGAACTCCTCAAGCTGGGCCTTCCGTCTTACCTTGCAGAATTTCAAATCTGTAGAAAGGAAGACAAAAATTAAATTTGATAAAAATAAATTGCAGAAATAAAATAAAAATGGGAAATTAAAGAACGAAAAATAAAAACACGCGTAAAAAGTAAATCTAAAACTATGGGAAACTGGTTGGGATCCGGATCCAAAGGTGGCATTAGTGGCTAGGTGAACTGCAAGCAGGAATCCCTCCTCTTGCCTAGGCGTTCTCCTCTTCTTCTACCCTTGAACTTCTCAAGAACAACTCTCCGTCTTATTTGGGGGTAGAATCTAACCTAAAAGAAAATAAAGAAAACAAAAGGGATGGTTGATCAAATCCAATGGCGGTAGTTGCAGATTGACTGGACTGCTTGCAAGAACCCCTCCTAACAAGATTTGGGCATCCTTCCCTTCTACAACCCTTGAATTCCTCAAGAAACCTTAGCCTTGTGAACTGGGTCAACTGACCAACCTCTTCTCCAGGGTCCTTGGGGTCCTTTTTATAGAGAAGGGTGGATAAAACTGAGATTAGAGAGAAAGAGGGGGGCAACAGCTGGGTTTTAGTAGAAATATGGGTGCCCTTGGTTTGAAAGATGGAGATTAAAAGGAGTGGGTGGCGCCCTAGGGTGAATGGCTGAGATAGAGAGTGAAATAGAGGGTTGAGATCTGGTGGCTAAAGGCTGAATGGTGAGGATTAGAAGTTAGGTGGCGCCCTAGGGTTAGAATGCACTCAAAAGAGGGTGCCCTAGAATGGAGGGTGGATATTAGATGTTAGGAAGGGATGGAATGTGAGGATTTAGCAGTTAGGGGCGACTAGGGTTTGTTAGAGATGAAAAGAATGAGTGGAGAGGCGGCCTAGGGTTTGCTAGGGAGAGGGGAGTATGCTAATACAGTAGGAGGGGCACCATTATGGGTTTAGCAGATAGGAGGCGCCCTCTTGTGCTCAATTTTTCACAAAAACATCCCCTCTCTCTACTGGACTTCACACAAACTTCCCAAAAACTACATTTCAGCATTGAAACTTTCCCAGTTTTTCCAAAGATTTGCACAGAAACCCTCAGAGGTCACAATATTGAATTTAACTGGGAAAATGAGACATTTTGACTATTCTAAGACTTAAAATACCCCTGAAATGATGCCTTTAAGGCATTAAACTACAGAATTATCACTTGCCGTATAAGACATTAGTCCAAAATCTGACTAGAGACATGGAAGTAACCTACAAGCATCAAAACAGGGCCAAGAATAGGTATGCCAACACCCTAGCCACTTTGGGATCTAAGATACAACCGAGTGACATACCGATAACTATAACAATTCAAATGCAGTGCGAGCCATCAACAAAGAAATTGGGGCACTGGGTTGAGACAAAGGATGATGTCAAGGAAGATGACTAGAGATATGGCATAATAGAAAAATTTAGTAACTTGACGGCAACAATGCAGGATGGTGAGATACTTTTGCGGTTCCAATTGGTGATTGGTGAACAAAGTACCATCCATAGCAGATGGAGTATGGGCAAGGTGCCTAGGACCCAAAGAAGCATCAGTAGTGGTGAAAGAAACACATGAAGCCTATTGCAGAGATATAACTACGACATTGTACCAAAGAATCACCCTTGTCCCAAAAGAACAACCCAATGACCATGAGAATGCCAACCTAAAAGTCGGGATTAGATTGGTTAGGAATCCGTTGAACAGGTTGATATTGGAATCCTAACCAATAAGGTGTACGATTCGAAACTCGTTTCGACCGATTGGAACAGATGTAGGCCGAGATGAGGAGCACCCTACAACTCCTCTTACAAAAGACGACAACAGCTGAATACTCTCCGTTCACACCTGCTGGCCCTTTTGCATCCACCCCTACTAACCACCCTGGAAGCTTGGACCCCGGAACAACTGAGAAACCCTCTAGAGCCAACCCCACACCTACACTAGAAACGGAGGCACCCATTAGTTGAACAGCCTCGTTAAGCCTCTCCAAGCGCTCCAAGCCCTTGGTCAATTCGGTGGCATGGGACCTCCCCTCTCCCCCAAATGATTCTCATGCTAATACATTGATGCAGGTGCCAAAGGGTAAATTGGCTATTTGGAAGTTATAAGAGTCACATGATGGCACACTTGAATGGTTTATGACGGAACGTTAACGATATGAGAAGTATTAAGAGTCACATGATGGCACACTTAATGGTTTATGACGGAACGTTAACGATATGAGAGATATTAGTCAATTGTCAACAACAATAAGAATAGCATTAGTCAATTTTCAAATGGTAAGGATACACTTATTACTATTTCCGGTCCCCTAAACGATTCCATTTCCGGTCTAATTTTTAAAACTTGCGTCAATCCATAACCCCCAACTCAACTCAGGTGCATGCAAAACTTGATCCCAAGTCTCCCTTACGACGAGCAGGATAACACGTTGCTTCAAAGGTAAGACTTCACTCCAAATGAACATGTCCTAAATCGGTTTTAAACTTTACCATAGCTGTAATAGGTTTTAATAAATATATGAAAAACTACAGGGAGTGTCTTTTACCCATTTTGATGATGGGAATATAAACCTATCAATGATGCCAAATGCCACGTTTATTTTCTGATATTGCCTGTAGGAAGTAGGAGATTCCATTTCAATGATGCCAATTTTCTGCGTCAAGAATGAAAATATAAGCTGTCAAAGGAGTTGAAGCACAGCACCTGAAATTTCTTTGATACCAACCCAACGGTTAAAGAAATCCCATCGTGTGGGTCCACCGTGGATCGCCAAACAAGGACACCGCCAACCAATAAAGCTTCTGAGTTCTGTCTTCTGAGCTTTCAAAATTTCGAATTCGACCTCGAAGTGGAATTGTGGAAACTGGAAACTGGAAAGACTAAAGAGAGAGAGAGAGGCAGTCGGAACACTGCTCGCGTGGCGCATTATAGCCAACCGACATTTTACCAAAAGAAACGGGTGATACGTAATAGCGATTAGCGAACCTTCCAACTGCAAAAGGTTAGCTTTCGTCTTAAGCCCTCTCTCTCTCTACTCTCTTTCTCTTCCTCTTCCTTGGTCTACCATTGTCTATCGATCTTCCACCCGAATTCTTCTAGGTTTTGTAGATCGGAGGTTAGGGCTAGGGTTTTAAAGATGACGACCATGGAGAGCTTGATTGGCTTGGTGAACAGAATTCAGAGGGCTTGTACAGTCCTCGGCGACCATGGTGGTGATAACGCGCTGCCTACACTTTGGGAAGCTCTTCCTTCAGTCGCCGTTGTTGGAGGACAGGTTTTCTTCTCGGCTGATCTTTGTTTCTATCTGGATCTATTCACTTCCTATCTTGGTCTTATCCGTCTGTTCTGAGTTTCATTTTGATTATGGTTTGATCTGAGAGCAGAGTTCTGGGAAATCTTCGGTTCTGGAGAGCATTGTTGGGCGTGATTTTCTTCCCAGGGGATCTGGTTAGACTTTTGAAACTTTGATTTCGTTTCTTAATATTTTTATTTTGTTCTATTTCAAGTTTTTGATCTTATGTGTTATTTGATTTGACGGTTTTGTGGTGTTTGCAGGTATCGTAACGAGGCGACCTCTGGTCTTGCAGTTGCACAAAACAGAAGAGGGTCAGCCGGAGTATGCAGAATTTCTTCATTTGCCAAGAAGGAGATTTTCAGATTTTTGTATGTTATTCTGCTCGTAATTTTACTTGTTATTGTCGTGTTATTTTCTAAAATAGTAATATTTATCTCGTTCTGTGTCGTATGTTTATGAGCCTTTTGTTTTAGCTGCGATCACGTTTTGCTGATGATTCAACATTTACTAATGGATTCATTTAATAGGAATAGGGTTTAGGAGATTTTGCTCTCAAAATTTTAAAATTATTTGCTAGAACAGAAGTAGGAAAAGGGATGATGGAAATAGCAATTGCTAAGGAATATGAGTTAATTCGAGTAAATGAACATCTTATCTACTGGCAGCACACTATATGTTAAAAGTTCTGTGAACTGCCTCCGAGCAAGTTCATCAAAGCAGTTTTAATACTTAAGCTATTTACAAGTGTCTTGAAAGCAGTCGCTAGATTTACCAAAAAAAAGCAGTCGCTACTTTTGGGTTTGGTATTTCTTCTCATCTAGGGGATCTGATCAAGCCTATCATATTCAGGCTTCTATTTGAAAATCCTGAAATCTGCTTCAATTTCTATAAAGATTGTACCACATGGTTTATAAACATATTTTAGATATTAAATAATTTTAAAGCAAGTTTTTGGAGTACATTTTTTTCTGTATTTTTAACCTCAGAAACTAAAGCTTTTGTTTGTATAATAACTATATATAATTTTAAAACTGACATGATTTAATGGAACTTGACTTCAGGAGGGGATGGTAGCAACCTCCTTCAGAATTTAATGCCATACACAGGGTCTAGCATGAAAAGTTTGATTTTCCCTGGCTGAGCAAGGGTGTACTTGCATCCTCCTTTAATATCTTCCTTGTTGATGTCAAGAAGACAAGAATTATTGTTTGATCATCTGTTAAAAACCACTTAACCTTCATGTGAATCCTGAACATTTATCAGCTCGATGGCTGCAAAATTGTGCCGGAAAAGAGAGAATTATGAGAGGGTAGGAATGAAGATGAACCCAGAAATTGCCTTTTATTTGTTCAGGAAGAGATGGTGAAGCTGCATGACTGAAGGGTGTGGTCTTTAGCTGAGGTTTTAGCATATCTTTATGGGTAGATATAGGAAGCCCAAGAATGGAGAACTGTGCATGAGTTTCYGTTACTGTATGATGTATGTGAATTGCATGTGTTGCATAGACTCCTAAACAGAAGATGTGTTTATGTTGGACATATTGGATTCTAGAATATAAAAAAAAGCACATTAAATTCTGAAATTTTATGTATTCTGAGGGGTACTTGCAGTTTCCTTTTTATGTCCTTGCTTTCATGTCACATGTTTCACTTCATTGCTTTGATGAGCAATTAAGAAACCTTATAAGATCTAAAAAATGCAGGTATTAAATTGACTTTTGACAGCCCATTTTCTTTTGCAGCTATGGTTCGCAAGGAAATTCAGGATGAAACTGATAGAATGACAGGAAAAAATAAGCAGATTTCATCGGTTCCTATTCATCTGAGTATTTATTCTCCAAATGGTATTATACTATATATATACTATTTTCTTGATTACTGATTAGATGCTATGAATTATATTTCTTGAGTTTGTTTTCTTCATTTTATTGTCTAATACAATGTAGCTCTAATAGTCTTTTCCTTTTCTTTTTCTGCAAATTGTATTGCTTTGAGGTTCAAAAGTAGTTTAGGGAGGTGAATGCTGTACCAATTTCTGTATGACATACTGTTAAGACAAGAGGAGGGTGCTTCTTTTTACCTTTCCATCTTTCATCCTCTCCTACACCCCAAAATTTTCTCTTTCTTCCTCAACCAAAGATCTCATCTTTGGGTTTACCATCACCCAATTACCAAAGATTATGAGCAGGCCACAAGATCAGTCATCATTGTTTGTGACTGACCAGAACATTGGCATCTGGCTGTTCTTCCATATAAATTTGTCCACCACCTTTTTTTTCAATGGTCTGTTTTTCTCAGCATTGTTGTTCTGTCAGAACTTGTTAATGTTTTTTAAAGTTTGTTCATGTCCACATGGCAGTCAAAGAGTTTTATTACTTTGTTTATTAGTATGATGCCCTTAAAAAATTCCAACTTGCGGTTGCAAATCTAGCATGTTTCATTTTCTATGTTTTGCTTAGTATGTAAGGTTCCACTTGCTTTCTTTGACATTTTTGTGGTTAACCTTGTTTGGCAGTGGTCAATTTAACATTGATTGATTTACCAGGATTGACAAAGGTTGCTGTAGGTATGTTCTTTTCCTCTCTTAAATAAATTTTCTTTACAAGCGGATTCTTCATGATATTAAGCTTCATCTTTTAAATTTACAAATTAAACAAGTCTGCTCTTCACAGAGGGCCAACCTGAAAGTATTGTTCAAGACATTGAAAACATGGTTCGCTCTTATGTTGAGAAGGTAATAATCAAATGCTTTTAAACTAGATCCTCCTAAGTTGTTCTTTTTGATCTCATCATAGTTTCAAATGCTTTCATGTAGATCTTGGCATTTATACCAAGTATGAGGATTGAGTGTTTTTTTTTTTTATGGGAAATGATAACTTTCATTAATTCTGTAAAAGACTTAGTACAATTGTCACCTTCAAAAGCAATTTGTGCTGATAAAATTATACTTGTTCCTTGATAATACAAGAGCTTGTGTCTATGATTGTGGGCTCTCATATAGGTGCTTCTGTTGTTCTCTTTTATATTGTTTGAGCTGTGTTTGGTTTGGGAGGATGGAAGAAGAAATGCAGGATCTTATGACAAAATAAATGAATAGGCCTAGCCCTTTCTTTACGGATTCAGAAGTCTGCTAAAATGAATTTCTGTGAAGTTTCTGCAACTTTATAACTTAGTCAATTCCATAATTGTTGTATACTGGAAATCTTCCCTTGTGGCTAAGTTTTATACCATATTGAATATGAATTTTCTTTAAATATTGAGGCTGAAATTGATCCTGAAAGTGAAATTTAAGATCTTGATCCATATGGGTGTTAGATATCTTTACTTCTTCCATAAATGTTTGTGTTGTGCCTCCCTACTTACTGAGATATTTTTTTGTAGCCTAACTGCATTATACTAGCAATATCTCCTGCCAATCAAGATATTGCAACATCTGATGCTATCAAACTTGCTAGAGAAGTTGATCCAACAGGTATTTCTTCTATCTATTTTAAATGGGTGCTGACTAAACTTTTTTTTTTATGTTTCTTTTCTATCAATCATTCTGGTTTCATCTTTGTGATTAGGTGAAAGGACATTTGGGGTTTTGACAAAGCTGGACCTAATGGACAAGGGAACAAATGCACTTGATGTAAGTTCCCATACTTTATAAGCTTATTTAACATTAATGACAGCAGTAGCTAGAAGTTATTTTCACTTTGCTCCCCTTCACTAGTTGGTGGGAACTGGCATGCACATTGAAATGTCATTTAGTTGAAATTTGCATTTTGTTGGTCCATGTTGAGTCTGAGGAATTTACTTTCTGTTTCATCCTCTTTTTTTTTTTTTGTTTTTTTTTCTCTTTCGAAGGTTCTTGAAGGAAGATCCTATCGCCTGCAACATCCTTGGGTTGGAATTGTAAATCGTTCACAAGCTGACATTAATAAAAATGTGGACATGATTGTTGCCCGGCGGAAGGAGCGCGAGTACTTTGCATCTAGTCCTGATTACTCCCACTTGGCTAGTAAGATGGGTTCAGAATATCTTGCAAAGCTTCTCTCAAGGGTACAATTTTCTTGATCTTATTTGCATTTGCAATGCTGATTGCTTCCATTAATGGTTTGTTTTGATGAGTAATTATGGTTTCAGCACTTGGAGGCTGCAATTAGGGCACGCATACCAAGTATCACATCCTTGATAAACAAGACCATTGATGAACTTGAAGGAGAGATGGATCACCTTGGTAGGCCTATTGCCGTTGATGCAGGGGTAAGGAACTTTATCTTATGCAAGAAACTGAATTCATAAATAGCCTACAACCTGGCGCAAGTTCATAACAAGAATCTGTATATGTACTTCAGGCTCAGTTGTATACTATCTTAGAACTTTGTCGTGCATTTGACCGGATATTCAAGGAGCATTTGGATGGAGGGTAAAGACTTGTACCTGGTCTCTGTTTTCATTTCCAATAGGCCTAATTTCTTTTGCCTTCACAAATATGAAATGTAATGCATTTTGGTATTTCAGTTTGAACGTTTCACAGCTGGTTATCAGAAATAACATTTCACTGGCTTTACTTTCTTTTTAGGATGTCAGTCGGTCAGGTTCAGTGGAACCTGTCTTGATCTGACCCTATGGAGTCTTTTTGGGTCAGTTTTAATCATGTAAAGACCGACGCATACCAAATCCACCTGTTGACATCGTGATGTTGGAAAATCGGAAATATCACTAAGAATAGGGTTACAACTGTTCACAAGATGGGGTAGGTTGGGTTTGGGTTGAGCCAAGCTGCCCCAAGCTTGTGCAAAACCCAACCCATTGACATCCCTAAACATGTACATGCTTCATTTAGAGGCATTGTGGAACTATAATTAATATTTGCCCATCAAATGTAATATTGCTCATAACTTACTAAATGTTCTCTCCCTTCTATCTGGACTTGTTCTTTCATAAATGAGCCTGTATAGGGCCCAGAAATGTACTGCCGTTGGTGGTATTCTCTTGATCCATAAACTGATCTGCATCTGCATTATTACATGAATTCTTGGATCATTTCTTATAGTCTGCTGTATGCTATAAAGCAATATCTGCAATAGTGATTGGATGCATTCTGATAAAATACTGCTGATGTTGATGCCTTTTCAAATTTCCTTTTACAAATCTCAGGCGACCTGGTGGTGACCGAATATATGGAGTTTTTGACAACCAGCTCCCTGCTGCTTTGCGGAAGCTTCCATTTGATCGACACTTGTCTTTGCAGAATGTTAGAAAAATTGTTTCAGAAGCAGATGGTTACCAACCCCATTTAATTGCTCCTGAGCAAGGTTACCGCCGCCTTATTGAGGGGTCTTTAAATTATTTTAAAGGTCCAGCTGAAGCAACAGTGGATGCTGTAAGTATTTTTTTTATGTCATATATGTTAATTACATTGTCTAATTATGATTGTTACCTCTAGTTTGTTCTTCTGGTTTTCTTATGGTTTGAAGCCTGTAATCAGCTAAAGGAAAAAGATAGCATCCTTGGAACTTATTTCAATATAAATTTTATTTCATTTTCCTACATGATTTCATTTTTAGATTCAATGAATGAGGAAATAATCAGAGAACTTGTATGGCAGGTCCACTTTGTCTTGAAGGAGCTTGTGAGAAAGTCAATAGGAGAAACACAAGTGAGATATTTTAGGACTTGTGTAGTTAGCTAGTAGCTGCTCAGTGATAATGAATGGGAAATGTTGCTTAATATTTTCTGAATGTAGCAGGAGTTGAAGCGCTTTCCAACACTTCAAGCTGAAATAGCACATGCTGCCAATGAAGCTCTTGAAAGGTTTCGTGAAGAGAGTAAGAAGACAACACTTAGATCGGTGGATATGGAGTCATCGTACCTAACTGTGGATTTCTTCCGGAAACTCCCCCAAGAGGTGGAGAAAGGGGGGAACCCTGCTGCTTCAACTGCAGACCGGTATTCAGAGGGTCACTTCAGGAGAATTGGGTCAAATGTGTCCTCTTACGTGAATATGGTGTCTGATACGCTCAGGAGCACCATTCCAAAGGCAGTTGTTCATTGTCAGGTTCGGGAGGCCAAGAGGTCTTTACTCGATTACTTCTATGCACAAGTTGGGAAGAAAGAGGTACCATTTAATGAGTCATATTCCTGCACTCCGTCTCTTTCTCATCTTATGTACAATTTTTCTACATGATTTTTTAGAGGTGGAAGCCTAATGCATCTGCATGGTTCTTCAATTTTCCTCTTAGTCTGAGAATGTCTTGACATGTAGTCTCTTTGGAGTCATCCGAAAAAATTGGAACGATACAGAATGTCATTATCATGTGGCGGCAGACAACCATGGTGTGTTAAGATGGTTAATGCCTTAATGGTCTAAATTTTCTCTGTCATTATCATGCAGCAGACATCCATACGACCTTGAGAAGTTATGGTATCGGATTTAGATGTCGGTTTTGTGGCTTAGACAGAATACCTTTCTAATGCACATAGCAATCTAAAGGATGATCCTGGGTGAACATGAAACTATTCTTTTTTACCACAGAGCCCATATAAGAAAAGTTGGATGGGCCATCTAGGATTCTGAATAGACTATTCTTTTGACCACTTGGAGCTTGATTCTCCAATCCATCCATTCAGGTTTGCAATCTTTGACTTGTTCAGGATGGGGGACCTCTCCCCTCCTTGCAAATGCCTGGCATACACTTTTTGTTAATAAAATTTTCTGCTATCCATCTAAAAAAGTTATTGACTTGACTGAACCTGCCTGGATTTTTTTTCCACAAGTGTTGGTCTTACTCAATTGCATTGGGGGCCTTTTAAGGTTTTTTTAAGGGAAACCTACCCTGCTTGGGTGCAGGGGATAAGTTGGGAATTTCAGTTAACTTTTCATTCTTCTGTATCAAATTGGGATTGACCCAAACCCAACCCATGCTTGGGTATTCCTCCTAGGTGGAGATTGCATAACAAGTAATTATTTTGTGATCATTTTTGGTATGTCTCTTCTGCAGGGCAAGCAGCTTTCACAGTTGTTGGATGAGGATCCAGCATTGATGGAGCGGAGACAACAATGTGCCAAGAGGCTTGAGTTGTACAAGTCAGCAAGGGACGAAATTGATTCTGTTTCCTGGGCTCGATGAGATATATGGATGTTTATAGAGGCCTTGTATCATAGTTTAACAAATGTTGCAGTCTCTTTACCGAGAAAACAATGTTAAGGCTTGCTGGTTATGTTGGATCGAATGACCAGTTCATATTCTTTTTTTTTTTTGTGCGATTTTATATAATATTTTGTTTTGACATTGTTATTGCTGTTCTTTTGTATTCTATTATATTCTATTCCATTCCATTTGTAGGTTTGTATATTTTTAGAGTATATAGCCAGTATCAACGTTGAATACTTGGGTTTTCAACCTGCGTTGAATATGAAATTTTATTTTGTATATAGCCAGTTTTGTGTAGAGTGCAAAACCTTATATTTTGTATTATTTTGTATGTATTTGCAGTGTATATATTTGCATTTGTACTCGTTCCAAACTGAGCCTTGGAAGGAGTACAAATGCAAATATGTACAGTGCAAATACATACAGAATAATACAAAACATAAGGTTTTGCACTTTACATATTTGCATTTGTACTCTTTCCAAACTGAGAAATTTGAGCTTAAAGGGGGTGTATATTAATGGAAAGTTAATGTGCAATGATTTTGATTTCTGGTTTGCGTTCACATTTCTAGCCTTATAGGGTTTGGAACGAGTTAGGATCGACTTTAGGGTATTTGATACCTGATACTTGGTTTTATTTGACATGGGTATTCGTTCCTAATATCTAATTATAAATCCGGTTATATATAATTATAAGAAATAAAGTATGTCGTATGTTGTAATATAATATAATATAATATATAGTATGAAATAATTTATAATATATTAAGCGAAATTAAGTCAGGAAGGAGCTCTATGGCCTGGTCCAATCCAAGCAATACTTTTAGTGAGTTGCTTGTTTAAGAAATTTAAAATTTTATTAATTAATTTAAAATTTTTATTGATATAATTATGGTGAGGTTGAAAATTATTAATGATGAGGTTACATGCTAACATGTGTTTGGGGTGTAGCCGTGGAGAGCCAATAAGACTTTGTATAAGCTAAGCTTTTGATTTAGCTTGGGGCTGTGAAAAACAAAATTGAACCAAGGCCTCGTTTGTTTCCCAAATTTTATTGGGGAGGGAGGGGATCGGTCAATGGGATTGTGATCTCATTGACCAACTAAAGATGTTTTCATTTACCCGGGGAAGTGTTACCCTTCTCCAACTTGGGAAAGTTGAATTTCCCAAGTGGAGAGTAAATGCTCAAAATACAATATATAAAAAATACCCATTTAAATAATATAATCCAATAAACATGGATTTGGGCCCAAGGTTAAAAATGACAAAAGATGAAAAAATTAACTACTTACTTGAGAGTGGGAGAGGCAAAAGAACATGGGATAATTGAGAGGCCATATTTACTTGGGTAAATTTAACTAAATTTAACAAAAAGAACATGGATAAGTGCACTTATTCAGGTAAATGACCTCTTGATAAACGAACAACGCCCAAGTGTTTTTTAGTGTTTGGTAAGAGTTCATCTCAAAATCATTACAATTCGGTTCCTATTTGGGAGGGGTTTCATTCTGTGGCTTCTTGCTTTGTAATTTTGTTGAGCTGATGTCTCCCTCAGTTGGAGAGAGAGTGGCATTCTTGTAATTTATAAGGGAGAGAGAGAGAGAGAGAGGTTAAATGGGGAGGGGTATTTTTGACTTTTGGCCACGTCTGAAACGCGTCTGAGCACATTAACTGATGGGCCTGAGTCTAAAAAATCCAGATATGAAAAAACTTTTCAAACCCTATATCAGATGCAATACCAAACAAAAGGTGGCGTATGAAAAGCAACATTTTTAGATTCAGATGTCTAAAAAGTGCAATCAAACGCCACTTTAGTGTTATTTATTTTTTTGACTTATACTATTTTGTTTTGTTCTTTTATATGAAAGCATTCTATGTAATGTTGGTTCTTGTTGAATGTTGTTGGTTGATAATGAACTTTGAAGAACTTTTTATTTTTTTTGTATGCTTAATATTGAAATTGAAGAAAAGTTTAACTCGATCATTTAATAATCGGGTGAGATTGGTCAGGATGGGTTTAACGGGTTTGGGGTCAAGGCTACCTAGGCAGGTTTAGGAACGGATGGGGCAATTTGCACAGGTACCCTACCCGTTACCATATGTCCAAAGTTGACCAATGAGCTAAGCTTATATCAACTAATGATGAGGTTACATGCTAACATGTGTTTGGGATGTAGCCGTGGAGAGGCAATAAGACTTTGTATAAGCTAAGCTTTTGATTTTGAGCTTGGGGCTGTGAAAAACAAAATTGAACCAAGGCCTCGTTTGTTTCCCAAATTTTATTTGGGTTGGGGGGGGGGGGGAGATCGGTCAATGGGATTGTGATCTCATTGACCGACTAAAGATGTTTTCATTTACCCGGGGAAGTGTTACCCTTCTCCAACATGGGAAAGTTGAGTTTCCCAAGTGGAGAGTAAATGCTCAAAATACAGTATATCAAAAATACCCATTTAAACAACATAATCCAATAAACATGGACTTAGGTTGAAAATGACAAAAGATGAAAAAATTAACCACTTACTTGAGAAAGTGGGTGAGGCAAAAGAACATGGGAAAATTGAGAGGCCTCACTTACTTGGATAAATTTAACAAAAAAGAATATGAATAAATGCACTTATCCAGGTAAATGACCTCTTCATAAAAGAACAAGGCCCAAGTGTTTTTGAGTGTTTGGTAAGAGTTCATCTCAAAATCATTATAATTCGGTTCCTATTTGGGAGGGGTTTCATTCTGTGGCTTCTGGCTTTGTAAGGTTGGTTGCACCAGGACAGCCCATAGGCCATGTTTGGTAACCCTGGAAAGCCCAAAATGACTGAAAGCTTAAAACATGGTTTTCTGCTTAAGCTTCTTTTAGTAACTTCTTCAAAGCAGCTCAACCATCTGGGAGGGCTTTTGGGACATGGCTTCTGGCATTCCAAGCTGGGCCCTGCATGGAACTCACACTAGTTGTTTGGTGAAAATTCAGAATACTGGCATTCCTAATGTGAGAAACACAACTGTAACTTGAAGCTACTCCAGTCTCCAGGTAGCTTGTCTGGAACACAAGTGTTCAATTATCATGGTTTAATCCACACAGCTTGCCTCCATGTAGAAGCCATCCCAAAGGGCTTTAAGGCCATGTTTGGGAGTGCTTAAAAATAAGTGCTTATTTAGGTGGGGGCCACACCATTAAGCACATATTGTTATTTGGGAAATAAGCCCAAAATAAGTGCTTATTTTAAAAATAAGGGCTTATTTTTTAATCCCAAATTTCTAGCTATTTTTAAGTGCTCATACATTAAGTATTTATTCAATTTTTTTCTTTTAGAATTGTTCCCAATAAATTTTTAGAATACCAATTATACCCTTTTATGGAAGCAATTTACAAAAAGCATTTTTATAGAAGTACTTTTATAAAAGTACTTTTACAATAGCATTTTTATGAAAGCACTTTTAGAAAAGCATTTTTGTAAAAAACATTTTTACTGAGTGATTTTGTAAGAAAATACTTTTATCAAAGTAATTTTATGAAAGCACTTCTATCAAAGTACTTTCATTCATTCACTTTGAATTGGATATTTTGAAAATTTGAAAGAAAATTGGCAAAAAAGTCACAAGTGCTCTTTTGAGTGCTTATTGGAGAAAAAAACCACCAAACGCCCAATATGAACTTGAAAAAGCTGGGTGCCAAATGCAAATAAGTGCTTATTTGAATAAACACTTATTTTTAAGAACTTATTCAATAAGCACTTATTTCTAACATAAGCACTCCCAAACATGGTCCTAAACTTTATCCAACACAACGTAAATTATATGCAGACCTGAACATCTACAGCTTATAGCTTTTATGATTAAAGTCCAGGCTTTCTTATCTTTACCATTCTAATAGCTTCTTCTTTTGTGGCAAAAGCTTTTTTTTTTTTTTTTTTTAGAAGTTGCAAAAGCAATTTAACCTAGAGGCTCCGATTAGAAAGGCAAGTTAACTGCCCTTCTGTCTTCCATCAAGCTATTGGCATAGTAGTAACGTAACTAACGTTTAATTCTCCTCCACATCATCTTGAACAATATTAGACTATTAGAACAGGATACTTTTGCAGAGGACTTTGATCAGTCTGGTTGACCAGGGAATTGGTCAGGCAATCAGTTCCATTTCACCCTAAAACCATTGACTTGGTCAGTGACCCGCTGGCACAGGCTGTCGAACCATCGATCCATCAACCTAAACAATGATTTTTGATCATTTTTTATTTTAATTATTTATTTTTAAAATCAGAACGGGTTGTCCATTCGAACTAGACGGTTGAACGGTGACTTCATCCCCACCCGGCCCCAGGAAGAGAAAAAAAGTCCCCACTCTATCTTATGGTTGTAAGACAGAAGTTTGTCTACATAAACCGGTTGCATCAATGGCCACGCTCCACCTTGACTAAGTTTTTAATAACTAGAAAAGGAGCATTAGTTGTATCAATGACCACCCGAGTTAGTTTGCAACTAGAAAAGAAAAAAAAAAAGATGGATATAAGTCGATTTCATATATAAGATGATCCAGTTTCATTTTTACTGTAAACAGTATACTGTGGAATGTTGAGACTTGAGAGGTGTTTTTAAGAAGAAAGATAGATTGGTAGCGTTTTCTATTAAAAAAATAAAAAAAAAAGATTGATAACATTGGCTGAGAGAAATGACGATGATAACGATAGGAGACTAAAATCAAAGAGAGACAAGATATGACGTGTTGCTGGTAACTATTCCAGCTGCAGCAAGCCAGCAACATTCTAAGCCGATGTTAGAGCAGAACTTGTCTTTTTTCTCTTCTTTTGTCTTTCATTAGAAGAAAGATGATTGGGTTTTCTCTTGGCTTTTATAGTAGGATGCAAGGATATGAAAAGAGACCATAAAGGGGCAAAATTGGGCTTTTAGAAAAATACCAAGCACATGTGATGGTCATATATAAATGGATTTTGAGGGATAGTTAACCGAGGGGAGGTTATTGTGTGATGACATCAGCCGACAAGGGAGGTCTTAGTATTTTACATAAGCCTAGGGGTTTTGCCTTTTTAGCCTGAAACTTAGGACAGAATGATGCCTATTCTAGGTGTATATTTTAAGAAAACTATTCCATTAAAGGACAGATATAGTTTTTTATTAAAATTGCAGAGAAAAAAATGGTGGAAATCTTCTCAATTTTTGGTAGATTATAGTGACTATCTAGTCATCTGGACTGTTTAATAACAGCTGAAATGACTGAACTGAAAAGCTGATTGCTTTGTCTTTTAGTGAATAAGTTTTTAAGGAGGTTGTCTGCTGCTGAAGCTGAAGTTGGGTGGATTACTATACCCTTGAATGTTTTATTATTTAATTATTTTATCTACTAAAAACAAAACCAAGTCTTTCAGTTCAGCAACTTTAGCCATTATCAAACAGCTCGTTAGACTGATTAAATTAATTATTTGTATGAATTTCTCCGATTTAATACCTAAGAAATTTTGTTGTCAAATTTCAGGTTTTCGTGGTGGTACTTGAGTACTTCCTAGAGCCCATTTTCTACCATTCTATCTTGATTTTAACCTTTAGGAATGGAGCCAATAAGACCAACTCCATCGTGGCCAAGCACAGCTAATTGAGACTATTCTGTTATTCCTGATTTCCTGTTATAACATGTTTCCTACTAACAGTGCAACATTCTTACTAAAATTATCATTAGAAAGCTGACTCCAATTAGATTTTCAACATGTCTTTATAAGAGCATCTTCCATCTACCATACCTTATACAATACACAGGAAATTTAGTTAGTCTGTGGCATGACCTCTATTCTAACATTAGTATTTGAAGGTTTAATGGATAACTTCAGAATGATTCTTTTTTTCTAAGCTGACACTTCAGCTGTGCACAATCATTTCAGAGGATGAGGTATAAGCTGAAAACAAAAACAAGAAAAGAAGTCTTGGTAATTCTCATATACCCAAATTTGAATCTCATTTTTGGCTCTCACAAGCACAAAAATCAGTAAAATTGGTTCTCTTGAAGTATGTCAAACACTGGTCAAATTATTGAGATGTGAAAGCTTTTGCTACTTATATCTTGGCTGGAATCAAACAAATTATAGTGGATGACAATATTTTCCCATGTCTATTACAAATGATATGGGGCAACGTTTGCAGGATACATCAGGTCGGTTTTAAAAAGGCAGCCATCATGAATCTGAAACTTAGAAAAGGGTATATGCAAGTCTTGGAGAAAAACCTCACCACATTCAGATTGCATTCTATTTTCCCCTGTTTAATGTGCCACATTTGTTTTTGTCATTGGCATCATTATAGTCATATAACTACTGTTGTTGATATTACTATGATTTCTATAATCAAACACAAGATTTTACATTGTATTCAGTCAAGTATCAATATAATCAAAGCACAAAATCTCTTATTTTCAGCATCCAAGAGAAAAGTAATATTTTCAGGTTTGATCAACTTTTCTGTATAACTAATGTTTTAGAATTAGTTGGAGTAGAAGGAAAGTAGATCTAATCTCCAACTCAATTATCTACTTAAACTAATAAAATTTTCTAAAATATCTGTAACCATTGCTTTAAACTGACCAGTATGACCCTTTCATGCAGTAACAGTGGCTCCTATTGCCTCTCTCTCCAGCTCTTCCAATGCAGTCCACAATTTTGGGTCCTCAAAATCCTTAATAAGGAAAGTAGCCCCTGCTTTGCTAAGTAGATCTTCTGGATTTCTGGTAGTTATACCCACAACTGGCATCCCTGCTGCTACCCCAGCTTTTATCCCTGAGACAGAATCCTTGACAAGAGAGAAAAAAAAAAAAAAACACAAGAAACATAAAAGGTTAACCTTAGTAATAAAAGACAACAAGAGTTGAAAGTTTATTAATTGGAGGCAGGATGAACCTCGAACACAAAAGTGTGGTTGGGTGATGCTTTCAGTGCTTGGAGAGCCTTCAGGTAAGGATCAGGATACGGTTTTGCCTTTTCACATTCACTCCCTATGACAAGAACTTCAAAGAAATCAGAAAGGCCTAGAATTGAGATCATGAGCTCAGCATTTGGTCTAGGAGCATTAGTTACTGCAGCCCGCTTCAAGCCATGATCTTTAATCCATTTGCATAGTTTTCCTAAGCCATTTACAGGCTTGAGTTGTTCTGATGCCAATCTGCCATTTATGAACCATGAGCATATGATGCAGAATTACAAACAGATATGAGTAAAATTTGTAATTGTATAGTAAAAATGAGGTTACTTGCGAAACATGGCTTCCTTATCATCCATGAATTTTAGGCCCTTCTTGATGTCCCAGTCAGGGAAGAGAATATGACAGATATCCTCATTATGCCTGCCACTTATATTCTCAATGAAGAATTCTTCAGTGATGGGAACACCACCATTAAAACCAACCTGTAAGACACTGCCGTATCAATTGGTACTGGGAGGGGAAAAATATGAAATTTACATTCATGGCTCATGAAAGAATCTATACCTCTTGCAGCATTTCACGAAAAGCAAAGTAATGAAGAGGATCTGAATCACATAATGTTCCATCAATATCAAATAATATTGCTTCAAGAGGAGCTAGACTGGAGAGAGAGCATCTGCTTCTTGCACAAAAATGAAGACCACATGATTAATAACAGAATAAAACCTCATATTTCACAAATAATCTATTCTACTTTTTAGAATTCATCAGACAATAACATTTGAAAGTTTAACTGATAGCTTTGACAGATGCAAATATCTACATGAGAACCATAGAAACGTGCAACAGAATGGGGCAGGATAAAGAGTCCATGCTGATGCCATACATCATATAATCATGAAATGGTTGTTAAAACCATCATCTGAGTTAATCCAAAAGATCAATCCAGCCTAAAGTCCTTGCCCAATCTAAGGCTGGTAGCTATCATGAGTTTTGCCGAGAAAATCCTGAAATGAAATGGTTGAGACCAAGCGGGGTGCACGGACCTCTATCCCTTCCCCTGATGGGAAATCAAACTTTGAATGCTTTAAATGGATTGGACAGAAATCCAATATAAAACAAATGGTTAATCCAGAGGAATTCGAATCGATCGAACTGGATCTCAATCGTTCACCAATCCAAGTAGAATCCAATTCTAAAAAAAGACCTAATAAAACTCGTATCAAGAAAACAAAATGTCTCAGAATCCAAAGTTGCCGTAACCAAATATTCCAATCCTTTCACAATTGAATTGGAATAACATACCCAAAATGACTGGACGACTTATGGTTGCAATCTTTACAAACATAACACCACTAACAAAAACTAATAAACTATTTGAACCGGAAAATAAAATTAATAAAGAACCAGACAAAAAAATGATAAGAAAGAGTTGCCAAAGACAATATCACAATTCCTCTACGGACTAGGAGAACACAAATCTGTTCACTTCATCCAGAAGGAAGTACAGGATATTGGTTTCGTTTGCAGACAGACTACAGAAGAAACCCAACATTTTCCGTTTTTTTTTTTTCATTAACGGCACACAGAAAAGCATTTAAGACAAATTAAGAGAAACGGAAAAGAGAAATATGTTCAAAGATAAGCCCAATGATCAAAACTCAAAAGGATTCTGTCAAGAAATATAGGAATCCTAAATCTATCATGTTTCAACAATTAGCCCAAGTCAGCATTAGTAAAACTGTCGTCTTCCCATCGATGGTAGAAAAGAAAATCAAATTGAATAGCAGGAACCCAGATCGAGTTTGCAATCCAACTACTAGTTAAGAGCTAAAGAAAACAAAACAAGGGAGGAAGGAAATACCTTTCTTCCATATTAGAGTTTGTCGAAATCGTCATTCTAGGGGACGCAGTTACGACTCCAGGGAGATTTTCTCTACAAATCTTTGTTCCCTGGAGATGGGTTCTTGAGAGGAAGTCAGGAGGAAGGCGATAGTGACAAAGCTGCAGAGAAACCAGAGAGTGCATAGCAAGGAAAAAGGAATAAAATAATAGAGATCGAAGCTGTCGGGGAAGTGATTGAGAAAAGTAAAAAGTGAGGGAGAGAGATCAGTGGGATTCCTGCAAAAAGTCACACACTTTGACACTTGTCTCTCTATTTGCAAAATAATATTCTGCATGAGATTCGGTTCTTTTGGTACTGAAAATTTGAAAAGATTGAATGGTGGTAGACGTTCCTGAAATTTTGGGCTCGTAAAACACTCGTCGTCATATCATCATATCATTCATCACCAAAGCTCCACCTTTCTACCTCTCAACCAAACAAAACCAATCATTTGTAATTTGTTTGCCATCATGCGTCAAACATTACCTGGCTCTTTCTCCTTCATGTACGTCCATGGTGGACCTGCTTCCCAGCTTCCACCCCCACCAAAGGAAAGTAGGAAGGAAGAAAACGCAGGAACAAATAAAAGCAAATTTGCTCTCTCTCTCTCTTTTCAACACGTTTTGTTCGATAGGAGCTTCATTGAAATTTCCAAGTCCTATTTGTGAGTTAAAACATTATTGAATCATTTATTACCGCTTTATCTTAGGGTAAATTAAAGATTACATCGTTCACGTTGTACTCTTAAGGATGCAACCTAAAATTGGGTTGGGTTGGGTCGGGTTGATGTTCGGGTTAGGGTTGAAATTCATGAACCTGACTTTATTTCGGGTTGGGTTAGGGTTGATCCCTTAGCCAACTCGGCCCAACCCGAACCTGACTCTATAGTACATGTCATATAAATATATATTATATGTAATATATAAAATACATTGATTTGTTTAGATGCACGATATTTGTATAGCCCCCACCACATAGTATCATGTATTTTTTTTAAGATAATCACTTCACTTAATCCAAAGCAGAAAGACTAAAACCTTAATAATAATATTTTTTTTTGAAAATTTTATTCTTCATCTCCTTTATGTTGTTTGCCACCCAAGAAAGATCTATCGTAAGCCATAACTCATAATAAATTATAGTTATTTCTAACACTTGTTTTTTTGAATTGTGTACCAAAAAAAAAAAAACGTCAACTAAACAAATACTAATGAAAGATAGGATTAATATATGTAGTGAAAGTTGAATTAAGATTTAAAATTGAGAAATTTATGAGGTTTTAAGGGATGGGAAGAAGGTACAAATTGGGCCCAACCTGAGCCCAACCCAACCCAAAATTGACTTCGGGTTGGGTTAGGGTTGAAGGAATTTAGTTAGAGTTAAGGTTAGGGTTGGGTTGGTCGGGTTGAAGGTTGGATTAGGGTTTAGAACTTAGGGTTGGGCTAGGGTTTGGCCTCAACCCGACCTATCCCGGCCCAACTTGCAACCCTATGACTGAACAATACGGTGGAGCTCAGATTTGTGAGGGTGGACTTAACAGTAAAACCCCTTATAGTTTTGGAATGGCACTTACCCCATTTGCAAATTGCAACAAAAACCCTTCAACTTTTTAGATTCCAACATTTTATCCCTCAATATTCCCATCTCATTGTTTATGTGCTTGTTAAAACATTTCTAAATTTCCAAGGCTCAGTTTGGAAAGAGTACAAATTCTTGTATTTTGTATTATTTTATACAGAGTACGAATAGACTCAATACAGATTTCTGATTTCCACTGCAAAGCTATAAACATTCAAAAGGTCAAAAACCCCCACTCTATACACCAATGCCCACCCATGAATTGTCATCAATTCCAAGCTGGCAACCACCCCAACTATACTTTGGGGCTACAAATTCTGACCCTAGGCTGATCGGTCATTCTCCCTATTCTATATCTATTTATATAAATTACCTATTTCCTTTTCATTGATGGGACCATTGAGTAAACTCTTATATTTCTTTTTCTTCTTTTTCATCCACAGTAGGCAAAAGACATTGTATATGTTTGGTTCCGTTTACATTTATTGAGTAAACGTTTATTGATGGTGCCACATAGGCACCCTGTCAGCAAATGCCTCATTAATTGCATTTGTGTGTATCAAAGTTTGCTTTTTGTTCTGTGCGCCTCTCCCATTTTAGGAAGCTTCATTTTGGAGCTTCCTGAAACGGGTAGGCGCTTATTGGCATTTTGCCAATGTGGTGCCTAATGGTGCCTATGTGTCATAACCCTCATTAATTGCTTTTCTCGGTTTTGTAGTCACACAAGTATAAAACATTTACTAAATAAACGTAAATGGAACCAAAAACCCTCGGGCTTTGCCCCGTTTATTCTTATCAATTTAAAATGTCATCTTTTCACTCGAATTTCAAAAGGGCATTTTAGTAAATTAATTTCATCAATTTATTAAAGGGAGAATGACTGTTCAGCCAACCTTAGAATTCTTAGCCCCACCATATAGGTGGAATGAATCCTGATCATGGATCAATGCCAAATCCACGGGCAATATGCGGTTTATAGGGGAGGCTACTAATAGATTACAGGGGGCTATAATTTCAGAATTCTGTGGCCTGCAGTGTACTTCTCCATTTATAAAATTAGTGGAAAGGGGAAGTGCTGCAAGTTCAAAGAGATCTTTGTGAGAAAAACAAAGGGGGTTAAGGGGTTAAATGTCACTACCTCCAAAGTACAGGATGGTTTGTAATTTACCCATTTCGGCTCAGTTTGGAAGGAGTACAAATACAAATATGTACAGTGCAAATACATAGAAAATAATACAAAATACAAGGTTTTGTACTCTACAAATTTGTATCTGTACTCCTTCCAAACTGAGCACTTATGATTTTATATCTCTTACAAGTCACAAGTGAACTTGCATCAACGTATAAGTTAAGGTGGAAAAGATGAATTTATATGCGCTCCCCCCACAGAGCATGTGCCACCCGTGCCCCATAGAACATCCCAACTGTGCAGTGGGAACATCTCTCCATATGGTGTGTGTGGGATGCATTCTATGCCTCAGTGGGGAGCCAATCTAAACTTGGAAAATATGGTTGGGGTTGATGGCAGAGGCTACTTTTATATGGTGAATTGCGAGGGAAGAAGAACCGTAGATGCCACCTCTAAGTGCATATGTTGGGGCCATTCCAGTTGAAGGTTGGAGAATGAGTAATAATCCAACTAATTCAAGCTCTCATCAACCAGAATCCGCTTGCATGGCCGATAACTAGTGGCGTTTGGCAAGTCTTTCTGTATGGTCTTTTGGGCTTCGATAAGTTTGAAAGGCCGAAAATCAGTCTTTTCCATTTGGTAACTAAAAGTTGGAAACATGAGAAGAGGTGTGCACGAAAAGACCAAAGAAGACCGAAAATGCCAAATTTTGGGAAGCTTCAAATGAAGCCTTTTGGTCTTTCTGTGTGATGGATAACCTCTAAATGGGTTTTTAAAAGCCCAATAAACTGAGCTACTGACCAAATGGTCTTTGCCTTTAAAGATAAAACCCCAAAACCTCAATATGTCTTTTGGCCATCTGGGCTATTGAAAGATCTTTCTAAAATGACTTGGCAAATGACACCTAGTCAAGTTCCTGCAACATCTGTAATCTTGTGATCTCTTTAAGGTGGTGCTCAATTGTGTGGTCATCTCGTGTCTAAGAATTTCAACCAGCTTGTAGAGTCTTTTGATTTTAGCACTAGGCATGACCCTCGCACTTAGTACAGGGCCATTAGTATGAACTATTTTAAATTTTAAAATTTTAAATCATTTATATTAAAAATTTATGTTAGGTTTTTCATTTGATTTTTTTGATAGATTTTTATTTGATTTAAGAGACTTACTATATTTTATCTAGCGTGTGACATCGTTACGAGGCAGTCATACGTATGTATCATTTTGGTTTTTACTTTTTTTTTTGTTTTTATAGTAATATTATTTTATTTGAGTTTCACTGTTTACCTAAAAATTATATTTATATTTGAATTAAGAAATCGAATTACAAAGATTTAGCTAGTAAATGACCCCATATTAAGTATGCCACTCAAGTTTTGATTTCCAACTTTTGTATTAATTATTTAGCCATTTTTATTATTTTTATTTAATTTTTTGTTGCTTTTATTCATTTATTAATTTTAATCATTTTAAGCTAATTCACTATTTAATACATTTTTAATGGTTTAAGCACAATTATGAATTTTTAATCTATTTTAGTAATTAATATTTTTGTTATTTAATAATATTATTAACTATTTTAGTAATTAATTAAATATTTATTTAAAGATGAATCCTTTTAAATATTGACTTAATTAATTATTTAAAGAATATTATTATTTTTTAATTATTGATTGTTATTAAGTTTTAAATTTTTAAATCATTTATATTAAAAATTTATGTTAGGTTTTTCATTTGATTTTTTTTGATAGATTTTTATTTGATTTAAGAGACTTACTATATTTTATCTAGCGTGTGACACCGTTACGAGGCAGTCATACATATGTATCATTTTCGCTTTTACTCTTTTTTTGTTTTTATAGTAATATTATTTTATTTAAGTTTCACTATTTACCTAAAAATTATATTTATATTTGAATTAAGAAATCGGATTACAAAGATTTAGCTAGTAAATGACCCCATATTAAGTATGCCACTCAAGTTTTGATTTCCAACTTTTGTATTAATTGTTTAGTCATTTTTATTAATTTTTTATTGTTTTTATTCATTTATTAATTTTAATCATTTTAAGATAATTCACTATTTAATAAAATTTTAATGTTTAAGCATAATTATGAATTTTTAATCTATTTTAGTAATTAATTAATATTTTTGTTATTTAATAATATTATTAACTATTTTAGTAATTAATTAAATATTTATTTAAATATTAATCCTTTTTAAAAATTGACTTAATTAATAGTGATTATTATTGTACCATAGTAACAATTATTATTATTATTATTATTATAACAATTCTAATCCAAGGCAAATTGATTTCCAAGTTCCAACCGAGTATAATTATTAATTCTTTTATTTGTTAATTATTATTTTGCATTTATGAATAATCATTAATGATTATTATTAATATTATTGATTACTATTTGATGAAGGAGAATTTGGCCCGACCTCATGACAGGGGGACACGTGGACGTGACCCCGCATTTGCAACAACTCGACATGGTCAGATCGGCACGTGGACGTGACTCAACACGAGTGACAGCTTAACATAAATCAGCTCGCTACCAAGCAAGCTCAGGTAAGCTGGTACCCCGAACTGAAGTCACTTCGAGCTAAGATCGTCTCGGTACCAGATCGCGACAAAACGAAACCAAGTCCGTTACAGATCGTACCCGGACCAATGGATTACCTCGGTCCAAGGGCACCTGCATTCGTGTCAGGACAGACCTAAGGAACACAAGCTCGAGGAGCTCGCTACCAACCAGCTCGCCATCGAACAGCTCGATATCCTACAGGCAACTCGCCTACCGTTCAGACCTTTGAATGGCAACCTCGAGGAGCACACCATAGTACTCTATATCCTACAGGGTCAT